ATAGTTCCAGAAAAATAAGAAAGATATTAAGTGCTGGCGGCTATAGAGGATTGTGAATAGGGAGACACTCAATTTCTTTCCTTATGAACTATAATAAAATCACAGTCAATGGACTTTACTTATTGGAATCATAAAACACCCTTAGCCTCTGCTAACAGTTTGTTCCTTTGGGACTGTGAGAATGCCACACAGTTGCTTTGGTCTGGATGAATGCTAACTAATTATTGAATTCACAGTGCATTGGAAAGGGGCATTCGTTCCTGCTGCTATCACAGCATATTCATTAAAAAAAAAAAAAAAAACACACACACACACACACACACACACACACCTCAAGCAGCATTTTGTGTTTTTGGCAGGCTGATGTTGAACATTGATCTTCTTATTTCAGGTTATGGAAGGAGATGCAAGCAACCCAGTTGTGCCTCTGATGGACAACAGAGAATTATGGTTCTTGCAATTTCTCTCTTATTTCTCTGCTATTTCAATTAGATTCCATTTAAGTGAATATTCAAGTTGACACAATTAAGGTTTGAAAATGCAAATAAACTTAGAACTATTCTTCAGAAGTCTATAACTTTGAATCCAAGTCATCCATCTTCCTGTTTCCCAAATCTTTGCAATGCTTGTTAAATCCAAGTTGGCCTTTTTTCCCCTGCATAATCTGTTCTCCTGAATGTTAAAATGATCAGATTCTGCTGCTTCTAAACTGGCCAGTCGCTGAATTCCCACTATCTGATCTTTTAATTAGTAATTAACAAAATCCGCTCCATCCCCCCCCCCCATTACATAAAGAAGAGAAGGAGATGTCTTTCCTTCATTGTCTGTATATTTTGTGTTTTGTCTGGTATTAAGCAATTAAAAGAGAGAGAAAGAGCCTGCTGCATCCAATAGGAGAGAAAAGCAATAATAAAAGTGCAAACAAATTGTGTTAGATGCAGCAGCTCTATCAGCACATTAACACAGAAAACCTAGATGCAGAAGTCTTGAGAACATTCAGTACTCTTAGTTATAGACAACATAACTACACTTAACCCTTCCCAAATAACTGGTGTCACAGCAGCTATTTCGATGGACTGATATGCAAACATTTAGAAGCCAAATGAGACTACTTTATATGTCATGGTTAAAGGTTGCTATGAATGCAGGAGGCTGAGAGAATGATGAACATTCTGCAGCGGAGAACTGGAGAAATTCCAGAAATTTGGTTTTGGGCAAAAATATACTTTTAACTTCCAAATGTAAATAACAATCTATGTAATGTGACTACTTTCAAAGCTAACAACTGCACATGGTCCAAAAAGCAAAAAAGACAACCCACTGAAACTTTTGTTGTTGTGAACTTTGCTCTCAATGTTCTTTCCAAACCAAATCCTTACATGTTCTATAACACTAAATCAAAAATCTCTTACAAACGTTAATGAATGACAATATTTGTCTAAGTGAGTGGTCCTTACTGGTCTCTGAGCTTGCTTGTTTTCTTGCAGACGTTTCATTACTCAAAGTAGGTAACATCATCAGTGCAAATAGGGAGTGCAGTTTACTGTCAGTTTATATTTTGGCGACTTGCCTGTCAGAGTTGATGTCGGTAGTCTTACAGATTCTTCAGTCGGGCTATTTGCTGTTGGCTTCTTTGGCAGTTTCTTGATTGGGGTATTGTTTACTTGATTGTTGGACTGATGTTAACCTTGGAGTTAATCTATATCTGTTTTGGCTAACCTTTTCAGCAACGAGTGCTAAAAAGGGGGCACAGGCGCACGTGTGCCAGAAACCGGAAGAGCAGCTGTCCGGTGCGCATGTGGCCATGGGAAGATGATCTTCTGGTTTCTGGTACATGCATGTGCACTGGCCACCTGGTCTTCCGGTTTCTGGCATGCATGCATACATGAAGACTAGCTAGCCAGTGCGCATGCATGTGCCAGAAACCGGAATATAAACTTCCCGGCACATGGGCAGCTGATCTCCTGGTTTCCAGCACTCCCACACACATGAAGACCAACTGGCCAGTCCACTGGAACCCGGAAGAGCAACAGGAGATGGCTCGCATGCCCGGAGAGATGGCTCTGCATGCCACTTCCGGCACGCGTGCCAGAGGTTCACCATCATGGATCTATACTGATCTTGGTGCTGATTGCTGATGGAGAGATGCTTGGGTCTTTTTGGGTGGATGATAGTCTCTTTTGCATAGTCTTTGTCTAAGTGACAGTAAGACAATTCTGCTTCTTTTCAGTGTCATGGGTTACATGCCATGAAGTTGAAAGATGGCTTTATAAAGGTGTACACCTTTGGGCTCCAAGGATCTATTGGAAGAAAATTATGATCTGTTTCAGACTGGGTTTTTCAAAGAGCACAGGACAATCGCTTGAAGCAGAGGTAAAGTTTATTCAGGAACATGACTGACAATCACAATAAGACTGACAATCAGAGCAATACAGTCACAAGAATCCATGGTAGCTATGAAGTTACAGCTTTAAAGTGGTTCTTTTGATAGGGAATTCTTTCTATTGTCCCTAGAAATCAAGCAAACTCAGTCTACCAACTAGGGATTCCTATAAAACACACCTGGACCAGTAAAGAGCAAACAAATGAACAAAAAAGTGGCTTGATCCACTGTAGGGCTTTGCACCTTTGGTGTGTCAAGATTGTGGGAAGGAAATCTATTATTGGAATGAGGAACTTGTAGTATCTACTGGGACATTTCTTAAGTATTTGCAAGTAAAAACCTGCTTTGTCAAGATTGGGTGGAAAAGCTTAAACCTTCTTTTGTTTTATTGTCTGTGGGTTAACTGGTAGGTCAGGGATGGATGGGGGTGGCAGGTGACATGGAGGATCATGGGATGGCATAAGATTTTTCTTCCCTGAGAACAAATGTAACCCTGAAGTTCTCTCTTGCAGCTCAGGGACAGCTTTCAACTGCACCTATAAACTACAATGTTTTGAAATGAACAATGAAGAAAGACTGAAAGGTAAATCATTAAAAAAAAAAAAAGACAAGACAAAAGAGCAGCCAAGGAGTAAATAGAAAGCCCTCCCACACAGATTCATACAGCCAGCCATTTAGATTGAGTTCAATCCACTGTTCAGTGCAGGTTTCTGGAAACTTCTCTCTCCCTTGCTTTCAAACATTGCCTCTCCCAAAATGTCCCTTCCCTGAAGCTTGCTCTTAAATTATTATTAAGACCTGATCCAAAAATATCAAGAAAATCATTCTTAGTATTATTAAATTAACCCCGGATGAGAAGAACAATGAAATACTGGACATCTCCCCCAAGTTATCCAGATAGTATTATACAATCTAACAGAGCTTGCTAAATAAAATATTTCCGTCATTTAGGATGTTTTCTCAACCCTTCCTTTTTTATTTCTGACTCCAAATCTGGTGATACCCACTTAAAATGGATTTAATGGCTTGTTTACAGTAATAACAACCTTTTCAATGAATAAAAGTCAACAATAATAGGGTCACAAATCTGTAAAATCATTGAGAGATTGTAAATTCATACTGAGGGTTGAAATGTTGCAAGGGAAAAAAAGATTACTCAAGGTGTCACAGTGTTACTTAGCTAATTAATATTATTTAATGGATGGCACAGCCATGCTATGAGCCAATTGATGGAGTCACATTTTAGGTACTGTGTTTAAATGGAGTGACTCACATTTCTTAATTACACAAAATGCTTCACAATGAACTTTAGTAAAGAACAGCTGACCCATTGCCTTAAAGGCCAGGATAACACCTGCTTAGCTTGAGAGATATTTTTTATGCCAAGTCCTTTTAAATATTTACTCCACTGTTGGTTATAGCAAATAAAAATGAACTAGATAAAATCCCTTCCACTTGACCTTAGCTATATTTTAATTTAGAGTGGGTAATTTTTCCCCCCCTGTAGAAGCCACACTATTATTATTACTGTGGTGGTGGTGTTATTATTTATTGTTTAATGTGATCCATTCAGCCACCCTAGCTCTATCCCAAATAAAGGGATTACAGGATCGTAAAAATAAAAAAAATGTGATATATAGTGGGCTGCCTGCATGTTAGGCAATTGTATTAATCACTGAGCCACAAGTTCTCCTCACTTCATCAGCTTGAGCCAGGGGAAAGATTAAGTGTTTACTGAGACCCTGGTCTACCCCAACATGTGGGAGGAGGCATTCTGCTCCCTTTCACCTTTCAGCTCCAATCCAGGAGCCCTCAGTAAACACTTAATCTTTCCCCCGTCTCAAGCTGATGAAGGGAGCAGAATTTGTGGCTCAGTGGTTAATACAACTGCTGTTATGTCCTTATAAGGACATCCGCCCGGATTGGCTGCGAGCCATCGGGCGGGAGATTTGAATCCCTGTCAAGGGGCGGTGCGTCTGCCGGGAGCGAATATAAGGAGAGCCCCGGCAGCGCGCCTGCAGTCTTGTCTTGTTACTTTTGTAGCTAATAAAGTTACTTAATGTATCGAGCTGGTCACGTCTTCCTTTCCTGCGCCTGATCTAACACTGGCGACGAAGGACTAGAGAGGAGAACCTGAACAAGACTCGTGGCACGATCGCCACCCAGCTGAAGACCCGAAACCACAGCGACCCTCAGAATGGCAACTCCGCAAGCTCCGATTGCCGCACTGAACCCATTTGACCCATCCCGAGAGAAGTGGAGGTCGTACATGGTCCGATTTCGGCAGTTCCTGCGAGGCAATGGCTACCAGAACCTCGATGATGAGCAGAAAAGAGCCCTCTTCCTGGCTCACTGCGGATCGGATGTTTTGGAGATGGCAATTGACCTCGTGGCACCCAGGGACATTGAGGAGATGTCCTGGAACGACCTGCAAGAAGCCCTGCAGGAGCATTACGCACCCACAGGCACCCCAATCGCAAACAGGTTCACCTTACAGCAGAGAAACCAGCGGGAAGGTGAATCCATCAAAGAATTCGTGGCAGCGCTTCGCCAGATCGCTGCCAACTGCGAGTTCGATAATGTGGACAACGCCATCCGAGACCGCGTTGTTTTTGGAATGAGAGATGTGGGGCTGCAGAAGAAGTTCCTCAGCCGAAAGAGGATACCACTCAAAGACGTCCTCGACGAAGCAACAGCGGCTGAAACATCTGAGAAAGCAGCCGCCACGATGGTCAAAGCAAGAGGGATCCACAAGATCCACAAGTCGGGCCTGAGCTCTTCAGATGACTCAACCACACAAACGGAGTCTGAGGAGGAAATGGCTGTCTACAAGGTTTCCCGCCCCCCCAGGCGGGAAAACCCACAGCATGGCGACCGGGGAGAACGATGCGGCAGTTGCAAAGGCGACCACCCCAGGGCAACCTGCAGATGGAGGGACGCGACCTGCCGCCGATGCCTGAAGAGGGGGCACATCGCCGAGGCCTGCAGAGCAGCAGATCCAGCCCCGGATCCACCCAAACCACGATTCCGCGAGAATCGCAAAGACAACCAGAGGACATCCAAACGGTCCTCGACCCAGTCCCGCAACAGAACGGTGCACCAGACCACCATCGCTCACACAAGCGACGAGGGGACCACCAAGTTCCACGTGACGCTGCTGGCAGAGGGGTCACCGTGCAAGATGGAGGTAGACTCCAGATCCGCCTACTCCATCATGGACTGGCAGCACCTACAGCAGCTGAAGCCATCCTGCAAGAAGACCCAGCTGAAAACCCCGAAGTCGAGGCTTGTGGACTTCAACGGAAACCCCATTGGGATCCTGGGCAGAACAACCATCCACATCAAATACAAGGACTTTAACGGAGAGCTGCCCATCACCATCGTGGAGAACAGCCGACCGAACCTGTTAGGAGTGGAGTGGTTTAAGCCGCTGGGGCTTTCCATTGAGGGCATCCACGAAATCCATAGGGACGAACTCGACACCATCCTCGAAGAGTTCAAAGAAGTCTTCGATGGTAAGCTGGGGAAATTTGTGGGGAAGCCAATTTCCTTCAATCTGGACAAGGGAATCACCCCAATTAGGCTTAAGCCCCGCCAAGTTCCGTTTGCCCTGCGGCCTAAAGTAGATGAGCAGCTGGATAAGCTGATCGCCCAGGGCGTCCTGGAACCGATCGATCATGCCTCATGGGAGACCCCCATTGTGACCCCACTGAAGCATGATGGGTCTGTGCGCATCTGCGCCGACTACCGTTGTACCATCAACAAGGCGTTGGCACAGAGCGCATACCCAGTCCCAGTAGTGCAACACCTGCTGCATTACCTGGGATCTGGCTCAATTTTCGCGAAACTGGACCTGGCCCAGGCTTACCAGCAACTGCCAGTGGATGAAAAAACGGTGGAGGCACAAACAATTGTCACGCACAGGGGGGCATTCAAATGTAACCGCCTCCAATTTGGAGTCAGTGCTGCCCCCGGCATTTTCCAATCTATGATGGAACACCTCCTCCAAGGCGTTCCAGGGGTGGTGCCTTACTTCGACGATGTGCTCATCTCCGGTGACTCAAGAGCTCAACTCCTTGAAATGCTCAGGCTTGTCCTGCAGCGGTTCAAGGCCAAGGGCTTGAGGGTCAGGCGGGACAAGTGCATCATAGGAGTACAGGAAGTCGAGTTCCTGGGCTATCTCATTGATAGCACGGGCATCCACCCCACCAAATCAAAAGTGGAAGCAATCCATGAAGCTCCAAGCCCAAAAAACAAGACGGAGCTTCAGGCTTTCCTTGGGTTGCTCAACTTCTACGCCATTTTCTTAAAACAGAAAGCCACAGTTGCTGAGCCACTCCACCGCCTGCTGGGGAAAGCGGCTTCCTGGAAGTGGGGCCAGGAAGAGGAAGCAGCATTCCGGGCCATCAAAGGACTATTGACGTCCAAGAGCATTCTCATCCAATACAGCGAGACGCTCCCCATCAAGCTGACCTGTGATGCGTCGCCTTATGGGGTGGGGGCAGTTCTCAGCCACGAACTGCCCAACGGCTCGGAAGCCCCAATCGCTTACTTTTCGAAGACCATGTCCGGCGCAGAACGGAACTACAGTCAGCTGGACAAAGAAGCCCTGGCCATCATGGCAGGAGTGAAGCGCTTCCACGAATATCTCTACGGAAGACGTTTCACTGTAGTCACCAACCACAAGCCACTCCTGGGACTCCTCGCAGGCGACCAACCCACCCCGACCTTCATGTCTCCGCGGATGACGAGATGGGCCATCTTCCTAGCCGGCTATTCCTATAGGCTCGTGCACCAGCCAGGCACAGCCATAGGAAATGCTGACGCACTCAGCAGATGCCCATCGAAGAATCCAGTCGAAGACCCAGCCCCCACGCTCCACCTATTCCACATAGACGACGACGCCAGCTGTCCAGTCTCATCCGCAGATGTGGCCGTTCACACCCAAAAGGACCCCACACTCCGCCAAGTGAAGTCCTGGATCCTCAGAGGGTGGCCATCGGAAAAGACGGAGGAGAGGTTCAGCCCATTCGCCAGGAAACAGAAGGAGCTGTCCACCATCAAGGGCTGTCTGCTATGGGGAGACAGGGTGCTGATTCCAAGCACTCTGCAACGGCGGACGTTAGAGACTCTGCACAAAGGGCATCCGGGCATCGTCCGCATGAAGGCCCTGGCACGGAGTTACGTCTGGTGGCCCTCCATGGACAGAGACATTGAGCAATGGGTCTCCAGATGTGACCCGTGCCAAGAAGTTCGCCCAGCGCTGCCACAATCCGAAGTCGCGAAGTGGGAGACCCCCAGCAACCCCTGGTCGAGGATCCACATCGACTTCGCGGGTCCGATGCAGGGGCGACACCTCCTCATCGTGGTAGATGCCTTCTCCAAATGGCTCGAGGTGGTGCCCATGGCATCTACCACAACAGAAGCGATGATCCGAGCCCTGCGCCGTCTGTTCGCCACACATGGACTACCGGACGTGCTGGTCTCGGACAACGGCCCCCAGCTCACATCCCTGGCCATGGAGTCCTTCCTGGCAGGACTGGGCATCCGCCACGCCCTGTCTGCCCCATACAGGCCGGCCGGAAACGGACAAGCTGAACGCATGGTCAGACTCACCAAAGAAGCCCTCACCAAGATGGGCCCGGGGGACTGGCAAGAACGCATAGACAGCTTCCTCCTCACCCAGCACATCACGCCACATGCCACCACCCACAAGAGCCCGGCCGAACTACTAATGGGCAGAAGGTTGAGGTCACCCCTGGACCGGCTGCACCCCCAATACAGCCCGGAAGTGACCGCAACCGCCAGCCGCCCGCTTCGCGCCTTCAGCAAGGGAGATTCAGTTTTTGCGCTGAATTTCAACGGCTGTCCTAAGTGGCTGAAGGGGAAGATTGCCAGCACAACCGGCCCCAAATCCTACACCGTCGAGTTGGAAGATGGACAGGTCTGTAGACGCCACATCGACCAACTCCGGAAAAGGTGGGGGGGAGCACACGAAAACCAGCCTGATGAGGGAGGCCTACAACACCCAGACGAGGTAGGCCTCCAACACCCCGGCGAGGTAGGCCTACGACACCCCGACGAGGTAGGCCCGGCTCACTACCAGGTACTGTCACGTCGGCAGTCCAGCGAGGTAGACCGGGGCCAACCACTCGGGAGATGGCAACACCAACCCAGCCAGGTGGGCACCCGGCACAGCAGGGCCAGGGACCACCAACCCAGCCCGCAAGTAGACCGGGACCTGCCCAGAGAAGGAGCAGCGCACCCCACCAGTGATGGCAGCCTACACCAGACCAGCCAGGGAGACCGCAGTTCCAGGCGAGTAGACCGGGACCCAGCCAAGACAGGCACCCCACTACCCATGGGCGAGGGTGGCACACGACTCCCCGGCGAGAGGGACCCCCGCCCATCTCAGAGAACAGCCAGCGAACTACAACCCGACCCGGATGACCCCAGGCACCACCCGACGGTAGACCAGGGACTAGGGGGAAGGGAAAGCCAACAACAACCAGGCCAGGGAGACCTACACCACCCTGGCAGGGGAGACCTCCGCCGCCCAGCAGAGGTAGTCCCGCAACAACATCCCGACCGGGTCGACCACCACCAACCTGATGGGGTAGACCAACGCCAGCCCAACCGAGGGGACCAACGCCACCCCTGCGAGGTCGGACAGCACGATGCAAGTCAGCACCACCCGCGACCAGTGGACCGGACCCGAGGGCACCGAGCGGAACCACCACCCAACCGGCAGCAGGCCGAACCGCGACCGAACCGCAGCGCCCGGGAGACCAGGGAAGAGCAAACGACAGACTTACCGAGACTCAGACGCTCTTCCCGGGTCGGAACCGAGCAATCGAGACGAGGCGATAGATCCACAGGCCAGGAGGAAGACCAACAGAACCAGCCACCCAAGGTCTGCGGTCCGGCCGGAGGCGCTGGGGGTGACCCCGCTCACTCGACAGCCGAACTGAGCCCGGTTCCGGAGAGGGAACCAGGAGATGAAGGAGCCCCGTCCATCCAGGCCGGAGACGGAGAAGAAGTGAGACTGTGCAGGTCAGCTAGGGTGCCGAGGTGTCCTACGTACCTGCGCGATTACGTGACTTTTGTGAACGAGATTGACAGTTCGGACTAAGGGGAGAGGAGTGTTATGTCCTTATAAGGACATCCGCCCGGATTGGCTGCGAGCCATCGGGCGGGAGATTTGAATCCCTGTCAAGGGGCGGTGCGTCTGCCGGGAGCGAATATAAGGAGAGCCCCGGCAGCGCGCCTGCAGTCTTGTCTTGTTACTTTTGTAGCTAATAAAGTTACTTAATGTATCGAGCTGGTCATGTCTTCCTTTCCTGCGCCTGATCTAACAACTGCCTAACATGCAGGCAGCCCATGTTCAAATCCAAGTAAGGGTATGGCTGATGAAAGCTAAAAAGCTTGAAATAGATCTATACTAGTCTCCCTTTATTTCTTTATCAGCAAAATATAAATTTGGTATAAAATGGTTTGTCATGAATGCGACTGCTTGAGGGGTCCTGGATTGGAGCTGAAAGGCGAAAGGGAGCAGAATGCCCCCTCCCACATGTTGGGATAGACCAGGTGTCTCGGTAAACACTTAATATATATATTATATACCCACAAAACTGCTTAGTTCTGTAACAAAGTTTTGAAATGATCAAAATTCATGTCAGCAAAACTGGCGATTTTGTGGCAAATTTTGCTGGAGAGCTGGATAGTTCACCACTGAGCTGTGTAATATCGCCATTTGCTTATCCAGATGGTCTCAGCTAAATCTGAAAGTTTTGAACAGGGTCACAACAGAAGTGTTTTCAGTCACGTCCTTTGATCCTGACCTCTTTTGTGCCTAGTCTTTTTCTCTTTTATTACCTTCATTGGCCTTTGAATTCAAAGTAGATATTTGGTACCTTTCTAGATGCAACAGTTTAAATCAATGGTATATACCTGGTTCAAAACTGCCTGTTTTCATTATAGGAACATAGTATTTAGAAATATCATGTTGCTGTCTTCAATCCTTTGAAAGAAAGCCATGGACCATTTCTGTTCTCCCTCTGCCTCCTTTGCTGCTCATTGTATATCCTGTACATTTGTGGTCAGACTAACCTTTTGATGGATGAGTAGTTTTTGTTGAATTTGGCTTATAGTCATAACAATGAAATAAAGTTTTTATGTTGCAGCTTCCAAATTGTTTCAAAAACTATCACCTTGGGTAACTCAAGATTCATGCTGCTGCTTCTATGGGTGCCCCTTGGCCTTTAATTGCCAGTGTGAATGGTATCTAAGGCTATGATCTAAAGATCACCTAAAAGTGATTATGATTATGACACGATGATATGATTATGACCCATAATTTAAAATATGGGTGAGTGCACATTGAATTTCACCTGCAAGTAAAACTATCCTATCTTACTGGTATGGATAGAGGACTATCTTACCATGACTACTCGACAAAGTCATAGAAATTTAAATCTAGCTTGTTTCCCATTCAAGATCATCTGATGCGGATACTTCAGATGTAGAGGATCTAGTCTGGCACATAAGCTTCTTCACTCTCTAACTGCACAATCCTTGAGTCATAAAATGATTTGGAAAAATCAGAAGACACTGGCATTGGACATTCTGCTCCACATGTAGAGGATGGAATTAATCTTTGATATTTGGGTACACAACATGGTGTTGCCACATCCCTCTGTCCCCATCCTACATAGCTGTTTATGAAACTACTAGCTGAAAAGGAGTGGCTAAACCTTCAACTCCTAGCAGAGGATGGAGGCAGAACAATAGGTTCTGCAGCTGAGTGGCCTAATATTGTTTCACTCAGAGGATCAATCTGAAAGAAATAAGACAAAACTTGTCAAAGTCTACTGGACTCACTATGCTTTAATGTACTAGATCAGTAGTGGGTTTCACTTATCTTCGCTACCAGTTCAGAACTGTGAGCACTTGTGCGCGCTCACTTTGCTCACGTGCAGCACTTCTGAATCTTCTGCACATGTGCAGAGCATCCGTGATGACATCTGGGCGGGTAGGCGGAGCCTCCTGCCACTGTCGCTTCCGGTTCGCCCAAACTGGGGTGAACCAGTAGAAACCCATCACTGTACTAGATCATACCCATGTGTGGGGTGTGAAAAATAAGCAGTCAGTTTTAGGAAGAAGGCTGTTGTTTGATAATTTGATGAGGGAAAGAATTCAATTCCTATGTCTTATCACTTATATGTCTGAGCATATTAAAGCAGTTTAGAGATTCTGCACAATGGTTTTTATAGATTTCATCCAAGTCAATGTTTTCTAAAGTTGCGCCTTCTCCAACCTGTCCTAGGTCTGTTGAGATATTTTAGAGTCTGCATGAGCCCCCATTTCTGATGGGACCTGGAGAGTTTAAAAAAAAACCCCAAACAAAGGTGTATTTTAACAGTGGTAACCGCTTTAGGAATCTCTTCCTTCTGCATGTTATAAAGAGATAATCTTTCATCCCTTTTTTACAAAAAAACAAACAAACCTTTTTTTAGTTCCAGTGTTTGCTTCTGCTATTACATTGATGTTTTGACTGATTTATCTGTTTACCCTGTTGTCAAATTTTATATTAATCATTTCAGATTTATACATGGCTAGTTGACTTGTCAATCATTGAGGTGACATACTGAGATGTTTGGGTCATTTCCAATGCTATCCTCACAAAAGGAGTTATTGGAAACTAAATTAATTGTTCCCTATTTATCATGGAAGTGCTCAGAACATTTCTAAATATTATATGAAAGGTCCAAGGATCTTAAGATGTTATGGAGGCTTAAAAAAAAATCCCAAAAGCTGAGCCAAGGGGACTTTTATATTTATAGGATTTTATTCATTTGCACCTAGCCAAAGTACAGAATAAACTTTTTTGCTATGTATCAAGACATTGGACTTATCTTATTCCCTGTCCATTGCTTAAGTTGTGCTTACCTACACTAGCATTAAAGTAATGTTTTCTTCCTTATTCTGACATTATCCAAGACTAACATCACAGCATATGAAATCTTTTAGGTTTCATCCCCCATTACTAAGAAATGAAGCTGTATGATTGACAGGGAACAGCAACAGAGTCAACAGAGTCAGAATAGGGATGGCAATGGGAAAGAAAACATCAGTGTAGAAATCTGTTGACTTAAGAGTAGAATACTTCAGTAGAATACTGAAGGGAATACTTTAACTCAGTAGTAGAGAAAGGCTGTTATTTGTATCTCTATTTTCACCCCTGGTGCCTATAGGGGAGGAAAATAGAGAGAGAGGGAGAGGAAATGATTGCATATTTATGTATTTTATTTTGTTTATTTATTTTATTTCTATAACTGCCCATCTCAACCAGTGACTCTGGCAATATATATCGTAAGAAGAATTTTAAAAAATGCAAAAAAATATGTTTGGTCAGTTTGGTCTAGTGCAGTGTTTCCCAAACTTGGCTATTTTAAGATGCATGGACTTCAATTCCCAGAATTCCCCAACCAGTATGCCTGGTTGAGGAATTCTGGGAGTTGAAGTCCATACATCTTCAAAGGGTCAAGTTTGGAAACACTGGTCTAGTGGTTAAGGCACCAGGCTAAAAAACAGAAGTCTGAGAGTTCTAATTCCACCTTAGCCATGAAAGTCAGCTGGGTGACCTTGGACCAGTCACTCTTTTTCAACCCAACCCACCTCACCATGTTATTGTTGCCAGAAAAATAGGCGGAGGAAGGAATATTGGATTTGGTCACTACTTTGAGTTATTTGAAAACTAATAAAGGTGAGAAAGAAAGAAAGAAAGAAGTGCTGTGGTGGTGCAGCGGTTAGAATGCAGTATTGCAGGCTAATTATGCCGACTGCCAGCAGTTCTGCAATTCGATCCTGGCAAGCTCAAGGTTGACTTAGCCTTCCATCCTTCCGAGGCCAATAAAATGAGGACCTAGATTGTTGGGGAGCCATATGCTGACTCTGTAAACTGCTTAGAGAGGAATGTAAAAGCACTATGAAGCGGTATATAAGTCTAAGTGCTATTGCTATAAAAACAGTCTTCTTCTTTACTTTCTCTTTCACCACTCTGGATGTCGGGGTAAATAAATGGTTGCTGAGTAAAATTATTGTCAT